GTGTGTTGAGATAGGGCCTCATTATGTAGTCCAGGCTGGCCTTGAACTCACTATGTAGCCAAGGCTGGCTTCAAACGCATGGAGATTCTCCTGCCTCAGCCTCCCAAGTGCTGATATTACAGGTGTGCATCACCACACTTGGCACTTTTTTTTTTTAATTTTGAGACAGGATCTCCCTGAGTCAACCAGAGTCCACCTTGTTCTGCGCCTGCCTCAGCCTCCCAGAGTGCTGGGACTATAGGTGCGCTTCAGCTCTGTCTCCTTGTGTCCACATGTGCACCATGGACTTGCTTGAGCTGCATAATTTCACCATGCTTCATCTCCAGAGAACATTGGTCTAACATTTCGTGTGTTTACCAACCAGCTCAGCTCTGTGTGAACCCAGCCTCTTGTGTGAACATTTTGGTTTTCCTACAGGAGGTTTGCCTGTTCCTTCGTATGTGTTGGAACTGTTTTCCGTGAACTATAACATATTGCTGTCCTAACCCAGTCTACGTTGATTCTTTGGTTCCTGACATAAATACCCATGTACTCTTATCTTTTCATAACATAGCAAAAGCTGGTGTGGTGATGCACGCCTGTAATCTCAGCACTTGTGAGGCTGAGGCAGGAGGATCGCCATGAGTTCATGGACACCCTGAATTACAGAGCAAGATCCTGTCTCATAAAACAAACAAACAAAAAAAGCAAAAAAGGTTTTGACCCTGATTCCTTCCTCATAGTCTACTATGCAAAAATAAAAGAGTGAGCTAGGAGATGGCTCCGTGGTAAAAGCACTTGCCTCACCTGTGCAAGGTGCTTGGGTTGCTCTCCAGCACCGCCTAGCGAGAAGCAAAGAAAGGACACCGATCTCGTAGGGACTGCTTGTGTCTACATAGTCATCTTTTTTTCATCTAAAAGACTTTCGAAATTCTGCCTGCTAAAAATTCAGAGTGAATAGTCTGAAAGTGAACCTTTACAATGCCAGGCTTAGAAACCACCCGGCTGTGGTGGCGCACACCTGTAATCCCAGCACTTGGAAGGCTAAGGCAAGAGGATCCAGCCTGGGCTACTTAGTGAGTTCAAGGTCAGCCTGAACTACATGGAGAGGGTCTGTCTCAAAAACGATAAGAAGAAGAAACCAATACTAACCTATAAGCAGTTGTGCCTGGATGCTGGCTTGCTTTTCCCCACTTCCTCCCTCCCTCCTTTCCTTCTTTTTTGGTACTGGGAATTGAACCCAGGGGCACTCTACCACTGAGCCCTTTTTCTTTTTATTTTGTGGCAGGGTTTTGCTAAATTCCTCAGGCTGTGCTCAAACTTGTGATCCTCCTGACTCGGCTTCCCCGGGGCTGGGATCTCAGATGTGGGCTGCCCTGTCCAGCTGGACCCGTTTCTACCATAAATACTCCATCTGCTCCTTCTTCTTGTGGGATAACTTGCTCTAGGTAGCCAGCCCCACGGCACCTGCTTGATGTAGGGACCGGGTCTCAGGAGGCTCAACTCTGGGGCATGTTGTCCCCAAAACCCCTTTCGGTCACCTGGTTCAAAGCAACCAGGCCAGGACCTTTCCTGTGGCACGCACAATGGTGCCCGGGCGGCGGCAGGGGTTAGGGTGACATCGCGGGAGCCAGTCTGAGCGCCTTTCATCTCAAGGTGCCTGAGAACCCAGGGCGGTGAGTGAAGACGGGCAGGAGGGCGGAACGAAGGTGGCCTCAAGGACGGGTGAGTGTGGGCTCCTTGGGCCGATCAGGCAGGCGCGGCCCCAGGTCTTGACCACACAGGGGCCCAGGGGTGAAGGCCCTGACACCGCGTGTGGCGAGACTGTGCCTGGCGGGGCCAAAATGAGAGGACCCCGGAGCCGTGACCGATGGACTGGGAAATGTTTGCTTGGAAGCTGCTTAGAAATATTTTCTTGATCTGTGAACCCACAAGGAACCCCGCATTCTGTTCCCGAAACCGCTTGGTGCTGGGAACAACATGGTCACGGCCAGGTCCTGTCGCACAGAGGCAGGCTGCTTCTCAGAGCAGTGAGCTTGCAGGATTAGTGTGATTCTTACAGAGTGCAAACCGGGCTGTGTCAACGGTGTAGAACATGTTTTAATGCCCAGGAGAGCATATTAGACACCACCAAAGTTTTCCGTGTGTTTCAGAAGAAGGTCCTACAAGGCCCGGGATTGGGCTCAGTGCTGCTGCCACCTGCTGCTCAAGCACCAGGTCCCAAATTTGATCCCTGGTACACAAAAAAAGAGCATGTTCTATGAATGCTGCCAGGGCCATGGGAGAGAGGAACCTCTCCCCACTGCAGGTGGATGTGCAGACTGGTGCAACCACTGTGGAAATCAGTATGGAGATTTCTCAAAAAACTGAAACGAGGTTCCATTTGACCCAGCTGTTCCCCTTCTGGGTATCTTCCTGAAAGAATTAAAAACATCTGCCAGGCGTGGTAGCACACACCTATAACCCCAGCACTCGGGAGGCTGAGGCAGGGGGATCGCTGTGTGTTCGAGACCAGCCTGGGCTACACAGCGAGTTCCAGGGCAGTCTGAACTACATTGTGAGACCTTGCCTCCAAAAATAATAATAATAATAAAATAAAAAAGGCATCATACCACAGTGATATGTGCACACCCATGTTTATAGCAGCAGTTTGTAATAGCTGGATCTTGGAAACAGCCCAGATACCCATCAACCAATGAGTGGATAAGGAAGACGTGTTGTTTTTATTCAATGGAGTACTACTCGGCCATAAAGAAGGACGAGCTTCAGACATTTCTAGCTAAAAGGATGGACCTCGAGGCCATGCTCGTAAGTGAAATAAATTGGACGCACATGTTCAAATACCGCATTGTTTCTCTGCTGTGAGAAACTGAAAGGGAAATAAGGACTGAGATGTATAATGGATGTTGGGAAATGGGAAGAAAGTGTTCACAGGGTAAGGGGAACAAGGAGGAGGGAGGGAAGAAGGGACAAGAAAAACTCGTGAAAATAGAAGGAGAAATGGAAACAGAGCTTTTGTACACAGGGAGGGAGCTTGAGGGGGTAATAGGGTAAAATAGAATTTATTGAAATAAGAAAATAAATAAAAAGAATGTTCTGTCCTGAGGATGTAGCTCAGTTGTACTGTGCCTGCCTGGTAAGCACAAAGGCCTAAGTTTAGTTCCTGGTTCCGGGGAGCGGGTGGTGGGGTGTGTGTTTTGTTGTTTCCCAGAAGTTCTCCAAAAGCAAAGGCAAGCCTTCTGTTTTTCCTAATTCGTGTCTTTTGTAATTGGTGACGTATTTATTTTTAAAATTGTTTTGTTTTGTTGAGAGCATCGTGCTATGTAGTTCAAGCTGTTCGAACTCAGTGTACCCCAGGCTGACCTCAAACTCACAGCAATCCTCCTGCCTCAGCTTCCCAAGTGCTGAGATTGTAGGTGTGTGCCACCACACCTAGTTTGTGATGTGTTTATTTTTCATGTGTGATTTGTTTATAATCTTGACAATATGAGTAGAGTGGAAGTAAAAAAATAAATTCAGGTGTGATGGAAAAATCATAATTTTGTATATGAAAAATTTATTTTCCCCTTTTCACTTTATACTTATTCATTAAAAACTATAAAAATGAAGCGTCCTATTTGAGGACAATGAAATAGCCACACGAGGGCGCTATAACCTACAAAATAAGAGACTCGCTCTACCAAGGTCTTTGTACATTTTAATTCAGGTACTTACTACTGATGAAACATCCTTACAAAAAGGCATTAGTATGCAAACGGTGCTCCTCAACGCAGTCCTCAAAATGTCGCGCGGTTCTGTAGGTGAAGTCTATGGGAGGGTTCGAGCCCTAACAGGGAAACAGTGACAAAGAAAAACAAAAAGTTTTAAAGAAACAAGTGAGGATGTAGCTCAGTGCAGAGGCCCTGGGTTTAATGCCCAGCAGAATACATAAATAAATGAATAGATGAGGTGGATGCTGTCTTGGAATTTACCTTCTGGTGGGGAAGACAGGCTTTAAATACACGTTGACTTAATTACTTCAAGTATAAATAATACAAAAGAGAACTCTCAGTAAAATAAGTCTATGAAGGATGAAAGGAACCTAATCCAGCCTGGTAAATAAGGAAGAGATAGTCACTCTGAAGAATGAATAGAAAAATAACTAGGGAAAAGGAAAAAAAAAGCATTACCGTCAGTGCACATGAATGGCCCCCTGGGAGCCTGAGGGGAGGTGTTTCAGGACTGAGAGCATGGAAAATCTCTCCTATCTTGATTTTCACATGCCAATTTTTACTTCAGGATATTATATTACTGATTCATTAACTTCTGCATTTGCATGCTAGATTCAATTTACAGATGAACTGTATTCTAAAAGTTTGATGAAAATGTTTAGAATCAAAAATATGTTTTCTATGACAAAAATAGTACAAATATAGTACTATGAACCCAGGGCCTTTGCACTGAGCTGCATGACCACCCACTTTTAAATGTTTTATTTTGAAGCCAGGCATGGTGACTCACACCTGTAATCCCAGCACTCGGCAGGCTGAGGCAGGAGTGATTGTCAGGAGTCAAGCCTGTCTGGGCTACACAATGAGACTCTGTCTCAAAACAAAAAAAAAATTTTTTTTAAACTTTGAGACAGGCTCTCACTGAGTTGCCGAGGCCGGCCTCAACCTGGGGCTACAGATGTGAGCTACCAGGCTCTGCTCTTTTGGTTTTATTTTCAGGGTTTTTGTTTTGTTTTGTGGGACAGGGTCTCACTATGTAGTTCAAACTGGCCTTGAATTCACTGTGTAGCCCAGACAGGCCTCAAACTCTACCAGTCCTTCTGCCTCAGCCTCTCAAGTGCTGGGATCATAGGTGTGCACCACCACG